ATCTTCTTCAACGAGAGCGGCCACTCCTATCCTGTCTACGTCGATTAGATGTCCCTCCGCCGCCGACTAAAAGCGCTCCAAAAACGACCCTCCTCTGTCCTATCACCAACGAATTCCACCCAGGCGATGCTTCCTTTCTGTCTGCCAGCGTTCTCATTTCATCATATCGACGTCGTCTCTCCTTCCCGACCGACTTCTTTTCCGGTGATCGCTGTCGTTCAAACTCCTTCAACCCTCGTTCCAGGTGACTGGAAACCCTCTCTGGAATTGTGAAGGAACAACAGAGGTTTTACGGTGGAGCCTTGTACTAATTAACTTTGATTTATAATTAATACTTGAAAATGAAGAACGGAAGGAGTGGCTTTGTCAAATAAGATTGAAGATTTCACTCTTTTATTGATTTAATTGATTAGAAGCAATGATAAGCAGATGAACATGGTGGTCTTGTAGGGTGTTGACGGTCGGAGGTGGGGAGTGGTAGCGACGGGTGGAGGTGGTAGTGGTAGATAATTTTTGTTGGAATAAAATATTCTCACAATAAACAAGGATATAAAAGTAATTTTAATTAGGGCGATTATTAAAGTTAGGGCGACAATTAGCAATCCCTTTTAGAAAAATGGACTGCACACACTCGTCAGGTCAATTGAGACAAGGTACTCGGTTGGAGGTCAAATTGTGTTATTTTTAGTTCACATCAGCGACTATCTCTAGTTTTTGCTTTTCGTTGCATTAGAGCATTAGACATGCACATTGCACGCACAATTATGATAAATGAAATGCAACCAGAAAAATCTGTCGTTACATTGAAAATTAAAATTTTGATTAACAAAAATAATCAACAACAATGCTATAAATAAAATCCACACATTTCATGAATTTTTGGGCTCATTTGGAGAATAGGAGTTTAAATCTTCAAATTGTCAACAATCTAAAGATTTTAACTCTTCGGATTGTTGAAAATGTTTATTGGTTGGTAACTGTGATTGTTAACATTCAATGAAAATAATTTTTTTAATATTATATTAAATAACATATTTATTCTTAATAAAATATTAGAGTGGTTCAAGAAATATTAAAAACTTTGTTAATAAATATATTAAATGTGATAAATAAATAAAAGAAAGAGAAAAAGCATGAGAGAAAAAATCTCAAGAATCAATATATATAGAATCTCTCCGATTAGGAGAGATTTGATATCCGTAAATCTTTAAAGCTAAAATCCGTAATATAAAAAACAACAAAAAAACATAACTTTTTACAAAATCTACGGATTCAGTGAATCCACGCACTTAATCTTGTTCTGCAAACGACTTCTCCAAACGACTCCTTTGTCGGTTTGAAAGATTATTAGCTACACCAGGCGTACCATGTTGATTTAGTGATGTGGTACTCCGGCCAATAAATATCCGCAACGTGTCATTAAATGTTATCAATTCATTTACGGGTTAATTTCAACGTTGGTCACTGAGTTTATTAAAAAGGTTCACCTTTGGTCACTAAAAATATTTAATTCCATTCGTGGTGACTAACTTTCTATTCTCGGTTTATCATTGGTCACTCTCCGTCCACTTTCGTTAACTTTTGCTTATGTTATGTGGCAGTCAACTTTTGTAGTTGACCGTTAAATATGTGACGTGAAAATTAAAAAATTAATAAAAAATAAATTTAAATATCTATAAATTTCCACCTCATTCTTGCAATTGTTAAAAAATAAGAAAAAGTAATTAATAAATACATAAAATCAAAACAAATTGAAAACACACAAATTGTTCCTGGGTCTTCACTCTTCAGTTCACGATTCCAACCTTTTCCCAATTTACTTTTCACTTTAACCCTCTTGAAAATTCCCAATTCTAACCCCTACCTCCAGTCCTCCAAATCGTTACCACCATCGTTGTCGCCCTTTTCCCCCTCTGTGAAAATCCGAATCCCAACCCCTTTGCAGCGAAGCTGCCATCACTAACACAGTCGCCTTGCAACTCTGCCTCCAGATCTTTACTCTTTCAGTCACAGCCAGTCCAAATCAGAGCCACCATCAACGCCATAACCGCTCTGCCCGACCATTACCACCAGGGCCTTCGTGGGCACTTGCCGATTCCTTCTTGTAAGTTATTAAAAATGCGAAGATGGCAGTGTAGAACGGCGGCATTGCTCCGATGGCCTGATTGAAGGAGACCAGGAGGTAAAGGTGGGAGGTGTTGCTGCAGAATAAGGAGAAACAGAAGATGGTGGAGAGGGCGAAGATCTTGAAGAACTAGCAGCGTGTTCCTATTTTCCCAAACCTGTCGGCATCCTAGGTTTTCCTCACAACAAATTTGACACTCAAATCTAACCCTTTCAAACGAGCGATGGCAAGGATTTAAACCGCCAGGAACTCCGCCACCCACTCGGTATTCGTCCACCCTACCGTTGCGATGGGGGCAACCTGACTACGAACATAAGAGGCCTGCAGTCATCGATCTCAGAAATGACGTTATCTTCCTTGACAATATCAAGAAGCCCCACCACCACCGTCGCGGTGACGACGACGAACTTCACTTCGATTTTCTTTAATTTCCATATCCAGATCCCCGGCGAGATTGAGCCCCCAAGACAAAGAGAACCAGCGAAATTGAGCGAAGTGGGTTTCTTGAAGCGGACGCCTCTCTTCTCCATCGTTCGATCTGTAGGAAAGTTGGTTGCGATGGAGTGGGCTTCTCTAGGGATGGCAATGGGTCGGGTTGGGGTGGGTTTTGTCAAACCCAAATCCATGGGTTTATCCGCCAAAAAAACCCGGGGTAAAACCCGCTGAGTTTGAAAAATTCAAACCCAACCCAACCCACTGGGTATTGTCACGGACATAGACTTCCGAAGTCCGTGTGGCGTCTTGAGGTGCACTCATTCCTCAAGACCAGCCTCTCTGCATACGCATGCCAACTGGTTTCGCCCTGCCTTGGGCTCATCAGGGAGACGGCAATAGCCTCCGACCAGTTGTGCCTTCTCTTGCAACGATCCCTTTCATAGCCAGATCCTGACTCGGCCAGATGCGATGCACAGGCAGACAACGCCTTATCGCTAATGTCGCCCCCTTTACCCTTCTCATGGCAAGACAACCAGATGGCAGCGTTCTTCAGACGATCAACACGGTCACGACATTTCGGGTCGTGACAGTATCCGCGGGTTCATGGGTACCCGTGGGTTTTTGTGGTAAAAAATTTATAATAACAAGTTTCTTTAAAAAAAAAGTGTAACATCAATTTTCTCATACAAATTATTCATACAGAAAACACCAATCTAGAGCATACAAGCAAACCGCAAATGATCAATACAAATTGTTCAAAATTAAAGATAACCATCTATAAACAATAAGATTAATTGAAAGCTTCTTCCTCGTCAACTAAGTTTCTTCACTCTCCCCTTCATAATATCAACTTCATTCTAAACAATTAGAAAGAACAAATTATACATGTCTCCACAAACATAAAGAATATTAGTTATTTAAGGAAGATATATTATTTAGAATATTAAATATACAGGGAAAGTAATTATATGTGTGTGGGCGGGTACCCATGGGGCGGGTTTACCTAAACCCAAACCCAACTCGACCCGGTGAATAGTGTAGCAGGTTTAAACCCGAACCCGGCCCAAAACCCGTCAACATGGGTTTTACCCGCGTTGACCGGGTTGGGTCGGGTGGGTACCCGTGGGTTCGGGTTTTGTTGCCATCCCTAGGCTTCTCCATTTGGTGATTTGGTGAAGGAGGCTTCGGTAAATCCAGAAATCAATCGGCAAGATGAAAGTAGGAGCGGAGGCGACGCGCTGAAGTGGAGGCGGATAATATTTTTCTGTTTTAATTATTTTATTTTATTGTGAAAATGAGCTGGAAATAGTATAAGATTAAATTTTATTTTATTATTTTTTAATTGCCACGTCACTCACTTGACGGTCAATTTTGAGAGTTGACTGTCACATCAGACAAAACTAACAGAGTTGGACGGAGAGTGGCCAAATTTGGAACGCTTAACTAATTTTAGTAATCATGAATGGAATTAAATATTTTAAGTGAGCAAACATGAACGTTTTTAGTAAACACAGTGACCAACCTTGCAATTAACCCATTCATTTAGTAAAACTTTGGGCATTGCTATTCGTCGCCCTAAAAATTCTTATTTATCGCCCTAATTATATTAAATTTACTATAATATCCTTGGTTTCAAATCTAAACTAATAACCATGTAATCAATGCAGTCAAGCACGGCACCACCGTAAATCCGGAAGCCCGAAGCTCCACCGTCCATGTCCCGTAAATCCGGTGTCGACCCGACGTGGTATCGGCGGCTCCGCCGCTACTGAGCCGGGAGCTCGCGGAAGATCCAAAAACTATCAAATTTCATTGTCATTGCCTCGTGTTTAGAGAGAGGGAGAGCAAGCAGAAGCGAGAGGCTGAACCACACAAATAGGAAAGGAAGAAAAAGAGGAATCATAGCTAACTAAAGTTGTGATTCCAGTAACCAAGTCACATTCACAAACACACACCAATCAAAACATCGGCGAAGGGTTTGGGGAACGACAGCGGCGGCCGGCAATCGGCTGGTGGACGAGACAACACAATGAGGTAGGGATTAGAGAAATTAGAATTTGGGGTATAAACGTCAATTCAGTATGGTTTAGGGCGGATTTTTTTTTAAATTTAGGGCGACGAATAGCGATTCAGAAAACTTTTCATTTGAAATTCTATTTGTTTTTCTGTGAATTACCATAACTTAAAGTTCCTCTTTCTTACTACTTGGTTTTTTTCTCGTAGTCCGGCGAACTCCTTTGTTGTCTCCGGTTGCAAAGCAGCAGTTCCTATTGAGGAGACTCTTCCTCCTCCGTCGTTTTCCCGGATCAAGACTCCATGGCTCTGGACCAAATCCTCCCCCGTTAATTGAATTGCTAATCCAAACCAGCTATTCTGTTAAGTCGAAAAACATAGGAAAATGAATAAGTAGAAAAAATTAGGAACTGTGGTCTTCAAAATTGAATGGTGATAACCTCTATTCCGTCAACAATCATCTATTATTTCTTCATTTGAAAGCACAGATCTATAAAAGTAGAAAATGATTAAGTGGCTTAAAGAAATGGTAAAGGGTTAATTGATTTGGGTTTTGGATTTCAACTTCCAGGTCGTTGCCTGGGAGACTTTGGGGCTTCCGGGAATTGAAGACGGCAGCTGCTAGTCGGAGTTGTTTTGTATACATTCACGCAAAAAGTCATAAGGTCCCAACATTTCCACAAAAGATTTCTTCACTTCATTTATTCCACAAATTTGGCTTACAAGTTACAGCAGAGCAATTTCATTTCACTTCCTACACTCTTTTTTTTTTTTTTTGTGTCACTACAATCCTCCCTGGTACGGCACACCGGCCTGGGGAATCCAGGAATATCCCTGAATAAACAAGTTTGGCGCATATTGAACCGCCTTCGATCTTTCCTTAATCACAGTGGAGCTTCGGACCCGCTTGCTCGTATTTGCTCCAGGCCCGTAGTTCTCAAACTCCGCATACAACGCTTTCTCCGGCACCGCAAAGTCTCCCCCGCCGGCGGAGGAAACCCTCACCTTCCATCCCTCCGCCGCAATCCCTTCTCCCAGGTACGACTCCATCACCACTACCCTCGAACCCTTCCTCCATTGCTTCCCAAGCACAATCTCCACTCTCGCACCTCCAATCTCCTTGATTGTACAGTTCTGCAGCACGAACCCGGTTGTCTCGAATCTCTCTGCCCTTCCTTGCACGGTCACGGCAGCAAAACCATATGCCGCCACTCCCGAATCGGGACTTACTAGGATCTCGGAATCTTGAATCACCGCCGCTGCGTCGCCCAAAATTAGATCGGTGGATCCAGAGATCTTGCACTCGCGGTAGAATTGACGATGAGCCAGTGCGTAGAGCGGGGCTTGATTGCCTTCAATTGTGACATTGTAAAATATCGATTTGTCCGCCTGAACCCTAACCGCCACCGTCGCGCCCCCTGATTTCCCCCTGTTCTGAATCGCCATCGACCGACACACGAACCCATCTCCCAAAACCGCTACGGTGGCGGTCTCGTAAGTCAAGAGTCCGGATTCTTGCGATCTTGACCCGAACACCACCGTCCGGTCGGGTCCGTCGCCGTACATGTATACATTGACTCGGTCCTTTGCTATTGTCACGCTCTCGTTGTACTCCCCTGCTTTCACGTATATCACGTAGCGGCCGAGCTCGTTGAGTTTGTAAGCCGATAGGGCTTCGGCGATCGTTCTGAATCTGCCGCTTCCATCACCAGCAACCACCGCATCGGGTCGGGGCAAAGAATTGGCACCACCGGCCAGGTTCCCGTCGGGGATCTGAGGTGGTTCAGAAGATCGATTGAAAGCGGAATTTATGATCGCCAATGCGTTGCTAGTCATTTTGATGGGTTTTCCGAGCCGAGTCCTGACTTTCCTCGTACCGCCGCACATACGCAATGCGTCGCGGCAGGTGCTCTGGTAAGCGACGACGGCGCTCAGCCTGCTCATGATGGAGAAGTAGCTCTCCTGTGAAGCGTTCGTCAAATTCCCGGAGGCTAGAATCAACAGTGACGAATTGAGGTCGTCGACAGCGGAGCCCATGAGCTCGCTGCAGATTTTATGGGCCTTGAGCCACGATTGTCCATTATCTCTGCCGGCGGCGGCATTGAACGCCGATTGTGCGGTCGTGGCTTCCTGTAGTGTTGCATTGACGGCATAGGTCGCATAGTCAATGGCGGACGCGGGGGAAATTGCTGAGAGGGAGGCCTTGCAAGTTGGAGGGTAATCGGTGAAGGAGCATACATTTTCCAGTTCGATCTTGGAATTTGGAGGTAACAGAGACAAGCTGTTTGGAATCGTCGACGGCGGGACTAGCGATTTCTGAGGCGATTTGGCGGTGTTGCTACCGCTGCCGGTGAGTTCATTGAGATGAGCGAGGGAAACAGATACAAGAATGCCGACTACGCATGAAACCACCAGCAAAATTATGTTGCCTATTCTTGATTCTCCGTCGGATTGCTGCCCAATCATTTTTACCTGTTTCCTTCTGAGTTTTCTACCTTTTCCCCCTTTTTTTTCAATTGTAAAGGGTAAATGTTGAGAGATGAGATTATTTTTCCACCGTGGTGATTAGGGAGAGGAGAGAAGGATTATCATTTATTCATGAAGATTAAGCAGTAAAAAGATGAGGATATAGCTCAAAAGTTAGGTAAACGAAATTGTGGGTAATGTTGTTAGCAAAAACAATTTTGTGTTTGAGGTTGGTTCATATTTTTGTTTTGATGAAACAGGGCGCATAAGAACGCCCTGAGTTCATCTTTTCTGGATTGTGAGGGCAAAGTAAGAACTTCTAAGGTATATTGAAAACTAAAAACAAGTTAGAATGTCATATTTGCAATTCACATATCCTCGGTAGAGACTATTTGTTCATTTTCCTTGTAAGTTAAACATATTTAGTTTTATCTATTTCCTTCATTTAGCTTTTTTTAGCTTATTTTACTATTCACATTTTTTCTGTTAGAACAACTGCAAAATAACAAGAAAAACAAATGGAACATTTTTAATTCTTTTGTTTTTCTAATTTTTTATATAGTTATTGTTATTTGTGAGTGTGTTTTAACAATTTATTTCGTGGTGAAGGTTAAATAGGGATAAATTAGTCTTGTTTGTTTTTCATTATGGGAGGCTAACAGCCAAGAAGTAACAAGAGGGGTTGAATCGAAGTAGAAGCAGGATAGAAGGAGGGGCGGACCAAGATTGGGCGCTCAAAGCAAATTCCCATCACATCATCTTGAAGAATGTTTCCTAGCTCAATCCATGAGTTAGCGAGTTCACACATAACATAGGGATAAACGAGAATGTACTTCAAGAGTCAGTTTGTAACTCTACTCCCTTTGCGATATGTATGAATGTACGAACCAACCAACCTCAAGCTACTTTCCTCCTAATCGAATCCAAAAGGGAGGGTTATGGGTTAAGTGGGTCAATTCGATTATTGATCACTTGTATGGCAATTTGGAGTCTGTCTCTGATACAAGATTAATTGTCGTTGATTCTTTTTCTTTGCTTGCACGAAATTGAGCTTTAATTAACGATAGTCACCAACTACTAACCTTGACAACGGCACGTGTACCACTGTTTGGCTTGCAGTATAGCGGCACATTTGTATTCCCCAGAGATCACTGATACCCTAGCCTACTCTTATTACATTATATTGTTATCTAATTGATAGTTGATTGCTTTTGACACTGAGGAATTGCTTAATGATAGAGACAATAATGGAATACCCGGGGCAAACCACACTCGCCCTAACATCGAGTAGACATGCAATCAACAGTTATAGCATTTCAAAGTAATTGAGGTGCGAAGATCACTAAAATGGGAAACAATGCAATGGTCAACCACTAGTTCTAGAGGTGGCAATTATGATCCAAATCCATGAATCCAATCCAATCCATCCACCAAATTATCCACCTAATCCAATCCATTTAAATCCAATCCATTTGATCCAAATCCAATTGGATTGGTGGATTCATGGATCAATCCATGGATCCAAATGGCAAATTACGATTTGGTACCTATATTTTTTATATTTTACATTTTGGTACCTAAAATTTATATTTTTATACGAAAAATATCATTGGAAAATTACATTTTGGTACCTAAAATTTTTCATTATGACATTTTAGTACCTAAACTTTTCAAAATTTACATTTTGGTCCAAGCCTTGGATGTCATTTGGATTCATGGATCAATCCACCAATCCATTTCCAATCCATGAATCCACCAATCCATTTGAACCATGGATCCACCAATCCAATCCACGAATCCACGAATCCGATCCAATTGCCACCTCTAACTAGTTCCCCTCCTAGCCACATCCGCATGTCCAATGTCACTACAACTGGGTTCAGTGACTAGGGATAGCGCCCTATCTCCTCTAAACGGGTTTCACCCATCTGCACACAAGGTCTTCAAGTCGATTGTCACACACTTGAGTACCAATCATTACCTAGGTAAGCTCCTAATTGGCAGGGGATGGTCACCTTGTCCACCAACTAGGACTCAAGACCAACTAACTAAGCTAAGGGAAGTCATTCACAACCAATCCATTTATAACCCGAATTAACCTACGCTAAAAATATGGCATCCATGCATTCTGCCTCTTCTCACTCCAGACGTCCAGCGCCCTTCGTCTTTTCTCTCTCCTGCACATGGATGTCGCCACCGCTCCATTCAACATTCTTCGTCTTCCGACCGAGGTCACTACTACATCTGAGGTCACCGCCACTCCATCCCGATCGACCAAGGCGATTGGAGAAGGTCGCTTTTCATCGGCTTGGTCGCTCGACCGCTAGATCCCCATACCAGAAACGTATAGGGGCTCGACCGAAAACTTCTGTGGAAGGGAGAGGCGGACGGCGTGGTCCTGGTTGAAAGGGGAGGTGATAACTAGGGAGAGAGAAAGAGTTTAGTGAGATTTTTTTTGCTTAATTGTTAGTGGGGATTGTGGAGCTTCTTTGGAAGAGAAGTCGTGGGTGTGTGAGGTGGACGGTTAGTGATGGCAATTTGAACCCGTCCTGCGGGTATTACTGGTCCTTATCCTTAAAGGGGTAGATAATATTAATAACCGACCCGTAGTAGCATGGGACAGAGCATGTGTATCTCCTTTTGGCCTACTTTGCTCGGCTCGTCCCGTTCTTGACCTATTTAATCTTAATTTCTTACATATTTCTCCTATTTTGGCTTTTTTCAATTAGTTAGAGTCCATCGTTCAATTTGTTAGACTCCATTACCCATTCTATTATCACTATTTTTCATTCATAAAGTATTTTCTCCTTCGTTTTATCGTAAAAAGTAAAATTTGCGTGTATTTTTTTTCCATATAACATATAAAAATGGTTTTACCCGGCCCGACCAGTAATAACGTGGAGCGGGACATGAGTATTGAGTTTCCCGCCCCGCCCGACCCATTGCCATCACTATGGACGGTGGGTATAAGATAATAAGCATGAGGGTTTATACTTTAGTTTTTATTATCTTTTTTACATGAAATTTAAATTATTTAATGTGTAATTTATTATATGATACTATTAATAAATTATTTATATCCGTTATTTTTCGATATCATTTCGGTATTACTTCGGATAGTATCATGTTTTGGATGGTATGATTTTTTACGAAAAAAATATTTTACTATTAAAAAATGGTATTTACCAATACAAAATGGTTGAATACAGTCATATAGGGGTGGAAGTTTGGTTTGCGGGTTGTGGGTAACCCACAAACATCACCAAACCGCACACTTTGTGGATACCCATACCCACAATTTGTGGATAGTGGGTTGGGTGTGGGTAGCAAAATATTGATTTTTGTGGTTAGTGGTTAACCACTACCCACAACGGTTTACCCACAAAACCCACATTAACCACTTTAGTTATATTTATTTCTTCAAAGTACTTTGTAACCCACATTAACCACATTAGTTATATTAGTTTGTGAAACTTGGAAGACTAAGAATTAAAGTAGCTACCAAAATCAAATATGCACTTATTCTATAAAACAAAACCAAGTCAATCCGCAATGTTCATGTGAGATACACTTATTAAATAAGCATTGTCCCTGTGGTATATGTTTATTTTATAACAAAACCAAGTTCATAGATATAGTCAGATAAAGTAATTGATTCGTTAAAAGAAGGGAATAATCTATAAAGGTTAGTCTGATACCCGAACTCATCTCCATTTCTCCACGAACAACACAACATGCAACCAGCTACCAAAAATACAAGACTATAATTGAGAGTGGAGAATAATCTATTCATTAAAAGCGGGCGCCTCCACTTATCGAGCCACTTTTGTGTTTTGATGTTGCCATCCGAGTAGCCGTGACATGCAACAATGTTAGTCTAGTAACATATCACTCCGCCTCTCTGTTATCTTCAAATCTCTTTTCCAATCCATCTCTTTTGTATTTACACTAACTAACCTATTGTATTCGAAATTTATAATTTATTTAACACTTTATTAATTTTCTTGTATGTATGTTTTTTTTTTTTTGAGAAGAAACACAACATCACTATATAATTACCATATTATTATATTTAATATGAAATTTTTGTGGGTATCCACAACCAACCCACAGCGGGTAGTGGTTAACCACTACCCACTGCGGGGCGGGTTGTGGGTAACATAATTCTATATTTGTGGATGTGGTTCCCCGCAAAATGTGGGGCGGGTAACCACACCCACCCCATTTTTCACCCCTACAGTTATACCACAAAATACCCTACCACAAACAAGTCCGGTATCACTTCCGGTACGGTTTCATGAACCATGCTTTTCCTCATACCACCTTTGTCACAAAGTTTCTTGTTGTGATTGGGTTTGACCTTGACGGGACTCTATTGATAATAAGTATGCCTCTTGTTCTGTTCCTACCATTCTTGAGCCTACATGCACCAATAGCCATCTTTAAGATCTCAGCCACCAAGGGGGGAGAATGAGAAGCTAGCTCTAAGGAAGCGTTGGTTGATCTGTTAAAGGGGAATAAGAGCAGGATCAGATTAAGCAATGTTAAGGGAGAATGAGAAGCTAGCTCTAAGTACAGGTTGATCTATCAAGGGGAGAGTAGGATCTGATCGGGCAATATTAACATGTTAATGAGTTGATGTATTCTTCTTTTGCTTTCGAACTTGTGTTGAACATGTTTATATTAAAATCAAGTTAATATCTTTATGCATAAACAATATTAACATGTTAATGAGTTGATGGCTTTTATCCCTCGAGAAATTAAGTATTGCATAAACAAAAGCAGGGGGAGATTGTTGGGGAAAAAAGGTTTTCCCTTTATGCACTCATCTAGCAAAAAGGTAATAGCCAAGGTAAAATTCCTCTAATCCCTACGACTTGTTATAGTTGTAAATGTGTAATCGCGGGATCTCCTAAATCAAAGAAGAATCTCCCAAATTAAAAGAAAATCAAGACAAGATCGTTGGATCAAGACAAAGTATAAATAAGAGGAAGAAACAAGACAAGCCTTACAGAATGTGGCAGAGCAATTCTACACAAAGCAAGATCAAACATTTTGTGATTAGCAATAGATGTAAGAAGTTATAGGTGTTCGTTGTCTTTATTGCTTGACTATTTGTGAGATTGTGTAGTTTCTCTCTTTCAACGCGAGTGCTTGCGAGGAAGAGACAAAAGGGAAATATTGCTTTATTTTTGTCAAGGGTTTGAGTTCCACGCAAAGGAACTCAATTTGGAATTAGATCGAAATAAGATGAAAACCTAGATACTAGGTCTCAAAGGGTGAGCCACTTTTGAGCTTCTCAACAGGTATATGACCTTGTTGGTGTAAGAATGAAGACAACCAAATAAAGACCAGAGCTCATCTTGTTAAATTTTGAGCTTTTGCAAAGGGTCCAATCCCCAGATCACTGATCATAACTAATCGTATTTCATTTATTGTATTTATAAGATTATTTGTTTGCGACTTGTTATACACTCGCTCTACGAATTTGTTAGCTAAGGCCAACCATGTATATAATATCCAAAAGAATAAATGTGTCCCACAAGTCCCCATACTATTCCATCATTTTTTTATATCACCTAAAAAAATCTTGCTAAATACGGTATTCCCTTGCTATTTTTACACATCCGCTTTCTTCCCATCGATTTTTTCCATACGGCAAAATTTCACCTCCCTTTCCGGACCACAATCATGTAAACTAGGACACCAAGAACAATGATAGAAGTGGGAGTGATAAAGAAGAAGAGCAGAGGCAGCAGCTGCTTCTAAAAAAAACAGGCATGTTATTATTAGGCTTAAGAAAAAAAACACAACAAAATAATAATACTTACTCTATACTACCTAAGCTGTTCATAAATCTTAAGAAACAACCAAACAAAGAAGATTATTTATACATTCCCATCCCCCCAGAGAGACAACCAGCTCCCACAGTCAAAAAAATATATAACTGTAGGGTTTTTTTTTTTAAACTTCTTTCTTTGGCTGTGGGGATCTAATTATTGTATAGTTCATGATGAACCATGTGAATACACAAATTGATCAAGCTCTTCCAGGAGTTTTAGGATCATGGTGATTGTTTGCCCCTGTCCCTGGGTAATCTGTGAACTCTTCCCTATCCATCCTTCCTTCCAAGTCATAACTTCCAATATCTTCTCCTCCTTCCTCCTCCTCCCTCAAAACAACTTCCACCCATTTCCCTCCCTGCAAAATTCAATACATAAGTTTTAGGAACTCACTACTTTTCACAACAATAAACCTTTTCGCCACCACAAAAAAAAATGGTCACCCCCAGAAATCACCAAAACCCTTTGGTCGCAAAAGAGTTTTGGGTAGTGATTCTTTGTTTACAAGCAAACGAAAGGCAGAGAGATGACCTCAAGGACATGGATTGTTGGTGTTGAGGAAGATGGGGTTTCTTCTTTTGCAGTCATCTTATCCATGATGAAGCTTCCTATTACAACCAACCAACCAATATCGATATAATTAATTAATCCAATCAAGGATTTGTATTGAGTGACCACACACACAAACCAAAAAAAAAACAGAGATAACAGTAGAGAATAGAGACAATGGGAAAATTTTAATTGAGAAGAGAGAGAGAGAATTAAGAACTCACTGGTGGCAGGGACTGCAAGGGAAAATTTGGGAGTGATGAGAAGGAGCAGCAGCAGGAGTGAAGATGGGAGGATTATGGCCTTCTTCATCATCATGGCTATCTACCTTCCAAATTTGCAGAAGGAGATAAGCTTGTGGGGTTTATTATATATATGAAATGGTTAATTAATTAGTTTAAAGGAATGGAATGAGAAGAAAAGACAACTGGTGAGGCAGGGAATGTTTTATATATAAATAAGCACCAAGGCACAAAAGAGAAAGAGGTCATGGAATGAATTATTGGTAGGGAAGAAATGGGGAGGGAAAAAAGTTATGCTTCCATGTCTACTTCACAATTGGAAAATGTCAACTTACTATTCTGTGTCACATGAAAGAATGTTTGTTTCTGGTAGATGAGCACTTCCCCACTTTGCCTAATTCTATCCCCTTATTCATATGTTGTCCCCCCTTTCCTTGTTCCTAATATCATCATATCCCCTTCTAAATTTTTTTTTTTTTTTGCTAAAATCATTGTCTTTTCGTAACTAATCTTTTGTTAGTGGTGATGTATAACAATATTGGTTGCTTGATGTTGGATACATATCAATGTTTCAGCAAATAAAGTACACAACGGATACCCACGTAGGAAGAACAATAATTCAAACTTTAATATTATGCATTTTAGTATCGTATATCTTTGTTATTACCTGTTGTTCAACCAAGCTCGATTGGGTTTCCAAGATTTCGATGCTTGGCAAACTGTGCGAAAAAAGAAATGGGTTGAACTCTCGTCAAGCTTTGATACGCGAGGCAATTTCTTCGTATAAGAGAAAGAGGATGTTGTTGTTGGTGTTACTTTTGTTCTTGTTACTTATAGTATTGGTTTCCCTCAATATTCGGATTTGAGTAGGTTATGATTTAGATAACAATGTCAAATATTGACCAAGTATTCAATATAGGAGTGTTATTCGCGGACTCAAAGAGACTTTACTCGTTTAAATTAGAATATGACAAATGTCATATTATCCCAAATTTCATGGAGTTTAACCTCTATTCCCATTAGAAAATGTCAGCATATCGAGCCATCACCACTGTTCATCATTGTCTTCATTGGTATGCCAACGTAGGAAGTGGGGTTACTTGAAGGGGGTGGATTGATGCATTATAGCATTGTAGGGTCCATGTGACCATTTTATGAGTATTAATTAGGTATTTCATATGAATTCATTGTTGGCTTATTTTGATTATTTGAGATATTTGTATTAGTCTATGTTTATGATATTATTATTTATGCGATTACTCCTAAAAATATGTAATTTTTCTCTACATTTTACATATAAAAAGAAGAAATTAGTATTATAGTTTTTTAGAAATAAAAGTAAATTAGATTATATGCATCAAAGCCTTAATGAAATATGTACGTACTTTTTCTCTACATTATACATATAAAAAGAAGAAATTAGTATTATAGTTTTTTAGAAATAAAAGTAATTTAGATTATATGCATCAAAGCCATAATGAATCATTATTCACACGGGCAAATTGCAGATTATCCTTCGTTTCGGCTACTATTCCATTTGCCTTTATATTCTGTTATTCTTGGCCACATAGCAGAAGTAGTCACGGTTAGTAAAAGGTATATGATCCAGGATTGAACATCTCCCAACAGTTCGAGTTATTGGGACTAACTGCTTCTTGAATGGTATCAGAGCCTTCTGTGATCGTAAGGTCTTCTGTTCGATTCTCGGTGTATCCCCATCTATTTCTGTTAAGCACACGCTGTCCGGACCCGTGCCTGTCCAAACTCAAGCCTATCTAAATGGCTTGAGTTTGAAGAAGGGTATTAGTAAATGATATATGATCCACGACTGAAACTAGGGGTGATAATCGGTCGATTACCGGTTTAACCGGTTACCGACTAGCCGATTATGGTATAACCGGTTACCGACTAGCCGATTATCGGTATACCATTTCCCCTCAAAGTGATACCGACTACCGTTACCGGAAGAAACTCGTTCCTCCACCGTTCCTCCACCGTCCAATCCTCTTCGCACTGTTGACCACCACCACCACCACTGGAGAAGAACTCTGTTATAAACGCGCTGCTACGGATCGAGAAATAGCCGGAATCGACAAAGCAAGAATACGAAAGCGAGAATCGAAAACACGACACACGATTTACGTGGTTCACTAACACGATGTGTGTTAGCTACGTCTACGGGCGAGAGAGAGCCAGTTTCACTATATCAAGGAGATTACAGATTACAGAGGAGTATGAGAAGTATTTATAGTACTTCTCCATGTGGGTCTAAACCTAATCCAATCTGGCAAAAGAAACGGTTACAGACCAGGCCCAGAACCCGAACCCAAATAACAGCGAGACCCCCGATTACCAGTCGTAGCGGCTAATAATCCGATTCAAGTCATATCAACAAATCTCCACCTTGACTTGAATCCTCTTCCTCTGAAATCTCTGATGTACTCTGCTCCATCTATCTCTCTCCCGCCATCAATGCCCCGCAGGGCGGAGTCACCCACTAAAGACATTCAGCAAGTCCAAGCAGTGTTGGAACTTGTCATGTGGAACCGGCTTCGTGAACATATCAGCAGGATTATCCGCGGTGCCAACCTTCTTCACCTTAATCCTCTTCTCTGTCCTCAAGAAATGATACCTCACATCGATGTGCTTAGTCCTCTCATGGTGGACTTGATCCTTGGCCAAGCATATTGCACTCAAACTGTCGCAATACACCACTGCCTGATCATGATGTAGACCAAGATCACCAACCAGTCCCTTCAACCATATTCCCTCCTTGGCAGCTTCTGTCAACGCCATATACTCTGCCTCAGTAGTAGACAATGTCACCGCCGACTGCAAAGTTGCCTTCCAGCTCACTACAGAACTCCCAAGAGTGAATACATAACCGGTCATCGATCTCCTCGTGTCAACATCTCCAGCATAGTCCGAGTCAGAATACCCAGACACCAAGCACTTTGTATCACTTCTGAAGCTAATTCCCACATCAGGTGTACCCTTAAGGTACCGGAAGATCCTCTTCACAGCCTGCCAATGCTCCTTCGCAGGTTGTATCATAAACCTGCTGACAACACTAACAGCATGTGCAAGATCAGGTCTAGTGCATACCATAGCGTACATCAAGCTACCTACTGCACTAGCATATGGGACTCTCGACATGTACTCCTTCTCAGCCTCCGACTGTGGTGCATAAGCTGAGGATAGATGAACATTTGAAGCACTAGGAGTATTTAAGGGCTTTGCTGAAGACATGCCAAACCTCGACAGTATCTTCTGGATGTAGCTCTTCTGTGACAAGAAAAGCTTCTTCTTCGACCTGTCCCTGTAAATCTCCATACCCAAGATCTTCTGAGCAGCTCCCAAATCCTTCATCTCAAACTCAGCACTGAGAAACCCCTTTAACTTCTGGATATCAGACTTCGACCTCGCAGCTATGAGCATATCATCCACATACAGGACAAGATAGATCATCGAACCATCCTCCACCTTGTTTTGATACACACAACAATCATATGGACTTCTGCTATAGCCCAGCTCAAGCATGTAACTGTCAAATCTCTTGTACCACTGCCTCGGAGACTGCTTAAGTCCATACAAGGACTTCTTCAGCTTACAAACATAGTCTTCTTTTCCAGGAACCTCGAATCCTTCTGGCTGAGTCATGTAAATTTCTTCCTCCAACTCTCCATGTAGGAAAGCTGTCTTCACGTCTAGCTGCTCGAGCTCCAAGTCATAATGTGCCACTATTGCTAGTAGCACTCTGATCGAAGTATGTCTGACCACTGGTGAGAAAATCTCATTGTAGTCAACTCCTTCCCTCTGCGAGAAGCCTCGTGCAACCACCCGAGCTTTAAATTTCATGCCCTCTTTAGAAGTGATTCCTTCCTTCTTCTTGTAGATCCACTTGTTTGTAACAATCTTCCTTCCCTGTGGTCGTTTGACTAGCTCCCAAGTCTGATTCCTGTCATCGGATTCCATCTCATCTCCCATTGCGGCAAGCCACTGATCAGCTTCACCACCCGAAACTGCTTCTCTGTAGGACTGTGGCTCTCCTGCATCCACTTCTTCAGCAACCTGAAATGAATACGCCACCATGTCCTCGAAGCCATACCTCTGTGGAGGTACTCCTGCAGTCGCTCTCTTCGGTCTACCGGAAGCAATAGATTGTTGAGCTCGTGCACTGGACTCTGAAGTTTCTGGCTCTGCAGAGACATCCTCATCATGTTGATCTTCTCCACCTTGGTGCTCAAACTCACTCTCATTGAGAGTTTGCAGCTCCACCTGCTTATCAACATTCCTGCTACCTTCAACAACAGTAACCTTCAACATGAGGTTAAACATAGACTTCTCATCAAATACCACATTTCTACTGAGTATAACTCGATGCTCAGAAGGTGACCAGACTCGAAATCCTTTAACTCCATCTCCGTAACCCACAAATACACCCTTCTTTGCCCTTGGGTTCAGTTTACCCTCATCCACATGATAATAAACAGGACACCCAAAAACTTTCAGTGAAGAGTAATCAGCAGGCTTACCATACTACACCTCATAAGGAGTCTTCAACTCAATACCTGTGTGAGGTCCACGGTTGATCAGGAAGCACGCCATGTTCACTGCTTCTGCCTAGAATCTTCTCTCTAGTCCAGCATTAGAGAGCATGCACCGTGCTCTCTCCAACAATGTTTGGTTCATCCTTTCTGCAACGCCATTCTGCTGGGGTGTATCTCTCACAGTCCGATGACGGGCAATCCCTTCATCCTTGCAGAATTCGTTGAACTCAGAACTACAGAACTCCAGACCATTGTCCGTTCGCAGCTTCTTGATCTTCTTCCCGGTCTGATTCTCCACCAATGTCTTCCACTGCTTGAACTTCGTGAAAGCCTCACTTTTCTTCATCATGAAAATCCAAGTAAATCTCGAATAATCATCAATAATAGACAGAAAATACCTGCTGCCTCCAATGGATTCAACTCGTGAAGGACCCCAACAGTCGGAGTGGAGGTAATCCAGTATCCCCTTCGTCCGGTGGATACCCTTCTTGGGAACTTGCTGCGATGTAGCTTCCCAAACACACAATGCTCGCAGAATTCCAAATTCTGCATCCTGTGCCCGCAAAGAAGATCCCTCTTCGACAGAACTTGCATCCCCCGTTCACTCATATGCCCCAGTCTCATGTGCCAGAGAGTGGTCATATCTTCCTGTTGAACCTGAGACGATGCAACTGCAGCAGAACCAGACAACACAGACCCTTGTAATGCATACAAGGTCCCAGGCTTCACGCCCTTCAGCACCTTCCTTGAACCTTTGCAGACATACACAACTCCACCTTTTCCTTTGAAACTGAAACCCTTGCTGTCGAGTAGACTCAAGGAGATCAGGTTCTTTGTCATTCGTGGAACATGCCTGACATCATTCACAGTACAGAACAAACCATCATGTGTCCGAACCTTTATGGACCTGATTCCAACAACCTTGCAGACAGCTCCATTTGCCATGACCACGTTATCACCATCTATCTGCTCGTAGGTTGTGAAGCAATCCCTGTTCGGAGACATATGGTATGAGGATGCAGTATCCAGAAACCACACATCCCCACGATGTGCCTTCTCATCTACAGCCAAGGCGAGATCGTCTTCAGAACTGTTGTCCACTTCTGCCACGGCAACTGAACCTTGTTTCTTCTGTTGCCCTCTTCTCTTGGGACAGTTGTACTTCCAATGCCCCACTTCCTTATAGTTGTGACAAGCATCACCTGGCTGTGGACCGGGACCCTTGGAATTCTTGTTCGAATTCCCTTTACCAGATTTCTTCTTTCCCTTTCCACCTGTAACAGCCAAACCCGATGCCTCACCACCTGTACCAGATCCGGACGCCTTATGTCTGATCTCTCTTGTATGAAGAGCAGACCTGACATCCTCCAACAACACGCTTTCTTTACCAGCAATAAAAGAATCAACGAAATTCTCATATGAACTCGGCAAAGAAACCAGTAGGATTAGGGCAGCATCCTCGTCATCAACTTGAACATCTATATTACGCAAATCCAGCAAAAATAGAGTTAAGCTGTTCGAGATGTTCCCTCAAAGGCGTACCTTCTTGCATCCTCAAGCTGAACAACCGTTGCTTGAGATGCAGCTTGTTGGTTAGAGACTTAGTCATGTACAGACTCTCTAGTTTCAACCACAAGCCCGCGGCAGTCTTCTCAGCAGCGACTTCAATGATGACGTCATCAGACAACGATAGCATGATGGTCGAGTGGGCCTTCTCCTCCAGGGTATTCCACTCATCGTCATCGACCGCTGCCTTCTTCTGTTTAGCAGACAGCGGCCCCCACAGCCCTTGCTGTTTTAATAAAGCCTGCATCTTGATCTGCCATATAGCGAAGTTGTTCTTCCCCGTGAACTTTTCGATCTTCATGTTCACCGACGTCATTCTTCTGAATCGAAAAACCTAGCCTGATTTCCAGCCGCGGCTCTGATACCACTTGTTATAAACGCGCTGCTACGGATCGGGAAATAGCCGGAATCGACAAAGCAAGAATACGAAAGCGAGAATCGAAAACACGACACACGATTTACGTGGTTCACTAACACGATGTGTGTTAGCTACGTCCACGGGCGAGAGAGAGCCAGTTTCACTATATCAAGGAGATTACAGATTACAGAGGAGTATGAGAAGTATTTATAGTACTTCTCCATGTGGGTCTAAACCTAATCCAATCTGGCAAAAGAAACGGTTACAGACCAGGCCCAGAACCCGAACCCAAATAACATTGAGCCCGTACATCGTGGGCCAGGGGCGTTGCCCCCGCACCCTGTCACCAACGAGGCTCAAGAGTCGAAAGAGGCTGCTCGAGGTCGAAGGAGGCATTTCGTAGCAAGGACGCGACGAGGGCGTCGCGAGCATAGGTGAGGGAGGATGTCACATGTGGCAGATGACATGGCGCCAACAAGGTGACAACATGGCAGCTGCACATGTGGCGTGTATGGAAGACTAGTAGCATAGAGATGCTCCTAGGATTCTCCACCTAAATGAGAGCTTAATGGTGCACTTATGAGTCACATAATGGGTGACATTTATAGAGTGCATAATGGGGGACTTAATGGGTGTATTGATGTAGTAGAGGGACATTATGAGGGGCATTGATGCCTTGTATGAGGAGAGGCCTATATAAAGAGCCATCTCCCTCACTTGTAACTCATCCATCATTTTTGTGAGCAATACAACTATATAGTTTCTCCCATCTTCTTGTGTCTTGTTCTTGTGAGTTGAGTGAGTTTGAGAGCTTGTGAGAAGGCTGCCTAGTATCTCTAACGGAATTGAGAGCTAGGGCCGCACGACCAAGAGTAAGGCCGTGACAGTTGGTATCAGAGCCTGGTTCTGAAAGAAGAACCGGTGTCCTCACTCCCCAAGAAGGAATATAAGAAAGAGCGAGAGCCTCACCAAAGATGACTGGATCAGAAGTCCACGACGATGCGGAGAAGCACCGTGGAAGGGATACCGTGAAGAATCCCAAACCAAAGGGTGACAAGTCAAGCACTCGTGATCCTATGACGTCTCTAGAGAGGCGTGTCTCTAGAATGGAGGTGAAGTTGGCGGAAGACATCAGTGTCATCGAGGATTTGGGAGCAAACTTCACCCAAGTCGAAAGCGATTTTCAAGGTATGAATGCTCGTTTGTCGAGCTTGGAGATTGGTAATGATGGCTTACGAGAAGAGCTTGTGGCCCTCATAAACAACACCATCAACACATCCTTGAACAACGCCATTGAAGTTGTCAAAGAACATGTCCAGGCTGAGCTGGTCGGCGTGAAGGAGGAGATTGCAGACCTCAAGAGTGAGGTCACTCTCGTGAAGAGAGCCATGGCTAACGGACCTGCCATCGCACAACCTACCTTAACCATGGAGATTCCAAGACCAAAGAGCTTTCAAGGGTCGAGGAATGCAAGGGAGTTAGAGAACTTCCTATGGAGCTTGGAGCAATACTCCGAAGCTTCGGGTATTCGAGATGAGAATACAAAGGTAAAAACTGCACCTCTTTACTTGAGTGATGTTGCCATGCTGTGGTGGAGAAGGACCCTAGGCGATATCAATAAAGGGGCGTGCGTGATGGAGTCATGGGATGACTTCAAGAGGGAGATCAAGAAACAATTCTACCCAGAGAATGTTGAGTTTGAAGCCCGGTCGAGACTAAGGAGGCTTGCTCACGAAGGAGAGATTCGAGGGTATGTGAAAGAGTTTTCTGAATTGTTGCTCGAGATCCCCGACTACACCGACAAGGAGGCCATGTTCACCTTCCTTGACGGCCTCCAACCATGGGCGAAGTTGGAGCTACAACGGCGAGGCGTGCAAAGTCTTGCCGAGGCAATGGCGATTGCCGAGTCCCTAGTCGAGTACCACGAGCCGGAGGAACGTGCGGAGTTCGGAGGCAATGGAGGTGGACGCGACTATGATAGAGACACACGAAGGCGTGGTAGACCGGACCAAGGAGGTAGTCATAAGGTTGAGAAACCACTTACTTGCTTTCTTTGTGATGGTCCACATCGTGTGAGAGATTGCCCAAGAAAGCACAAGTTGTCGGCAATGAAGGCCGTACTAGCAGAGTGCTCGAGCTCGGAAGAGGAAGCAGAGGAGACTCCAAGAGTGGAGCCCCATGTCGCGAAGATGGGTTGCATGAAGAGATTGAGCGCCATCAAGCGGGCGGAAGAGCCTCTCCAACCCGAGCAGCACGACCAATGCTTCGTAGAGGCGAAGCTCAACCAAAGGAAAACAAAAGCCTTGGTTGATACTGGGGCAAGTTGCAACCTTCTTGACGTAGGTGAAGCGCAGAGGCTAGGCATCACGTACGAGAAGAAGCAAAGAGGGTGGATGAAAGCTACCAACTCAAGGGCCACAAGAACTCATGGAGTAACGCGCCAGGTGCCACTCAAGCTTGGAGGATGGACCGGGGTGGCAGACTTTGAGGTTGTGTCGTTGGATGATTATCAGGTCATCATCGGCATGGAATTCATGGTGCGGGAGAAAGCTTTCCCGATTCCCTACGCCAATAGATTCTGCATCAATGGCGGAGCAAGATCGGTTCCCATGACAAGAGAGCAACTCGAGTCAAACAAGAGGTGTTTGACAAGGCAAGAGCAGCGAGAAGTGGCAACGATGGTGGAGGCAGAGACTCACTCGAAGACTCGTTGGAGAAGGACGAGAAGGAGGAGTGCACAACATCGTGGAGCCATGAGAGACGAGGATGTATCATCTTCGACTTGCCAAGAGAAGCAAGGAAAGGCCACCATGATCGAGAAGGCGGGACACTCAAAGACATGACGGAGAAGACCGCGGAGGAGTGAGCAACATCATGGGAGCACAAGGCTCGAGAGCGAGCCAAGGCCATCCTTGGTTTGGAGGAAGGTGCAACGAGACCTTGCAAGCAATGAAGCTAAGGCAAGGGAGGCATCTGCCAAAGAGCCACGACGAGGGCGTCGTGGATTGAGTGGAGGAGAATGTCACCAACGAGGCTCAAGAGTCGAAAGAGGCTGCTCGAGGTCGAAGGAGGCATTTCGTAGCAAGGACGCGACGAGGGCGTCGCGAGCATAGGTGGGGGAGGATGTCACATGTGGCAGATGACATGGCGCCAACAAGGTGACAACATGGCGGCTGCACATGTGGCGTGTATGGAAGACTAGTAGCATAGAGATGCTCCTAGGATTCTCCACCTAAATGAGAGCTTAATGGTGCACTTATGAGTCACATAATGGGTGACATTTATAGAGTGCATAATGGGGGGACTTAATGGGTGTATTGATGTAGTAGAGGGACATTATGAGGGGCATTGATGCCTTGTATGAGGAGAGGCCTATATAAAGAGCCATCTCCCTCACTTGTAACTCATCCATCATTTTTGTGAGCAATACAACTATATAGTTTCTCCCATCTTCTTGTGTCTTGTTCTTGTGAGTTGAGTGAGTTTGAGAGCTTGTGAGAAGGCTGCCTAGTATCTCTAACGGAATTGAGAGCTAGGGCCGCACGACCAAGAGTAAAGCCGTGACAATCCCCACCGGGGCTTTGCCCCTGGACCCCACTCGCTGACCGGTCAGCGAGACCCCCGATTACCAGTCGTAGTGGCTGATAATCCGATTCAAATCATATCAACAAACTCGTTGGTTCTGGAATCAAGCGACTTGTCGGGGAGTTCAACTTGAGCCGGAGAGTTCATCGATGCGACCGATTCAGAATCGTCGCCACCGCGGTGCTGCTTGCATGCAATGGCGGAGGAGCTTTCATCGATGAGGAATGAGTTGGATTAAAAAAGAATCCTTGAAATTCTTCGGAATCATCTTCATCCTCCGCATTCTCATCGGCAGCCTCCAGAATTGAGATAAATCTGCCGCCGGCGGTGGGGATAGCAACTTCGTCGTCATCGTAAGACCTCAAATCGGACAATTTAGGCGTCAATGGCTGCTGAGGCGGGAAGTGAAGGTTGACCATAACGACCTTCTGGATTCTTTCATGGAATAAAAGGACTCAACCACGAGCAAATTGCCGAAAAGTAATGAGAGTTATCTTCGACGCCGCTAAGGACATCACAGCCAGTGCTCAATCACTGTAAGTTTTTTCTTTTGTTTTTTGTTCCCAAAAGTGAATCTTTAGGAATTCATTGAACAGGGGAAAGGGTATAATTGTTGGAAATGGAACTGATTTTAGAATTTTTTGTTTTGTTTGGGAAAGAACAACAGGCGATAGCGAAGTAGATGATTAGCAGGGGAAAGGGAGTTCTGAGTTGGGGAGATATAAAGCAGATGTCCATCTCCTCCATTGTGGAATAAGATTGGGGAAGAAGATTTGGTGGTCGAGGGTTGTGGATTTGGAAGGGCAGGCAGATTGGGGAAGAAGAGTTCGCTGGCAGGTGAAGAGAAATTGGGAGATGCAGAGAGCTCGACAAGAAGGGAAAGGGAAAATCCCGGTATACGGTATTATTGATTTGCCGTCGGTTATTTACCGGATTGGATTCGGTATACCGAGGACTGAATTATTGCCACCGTATATTGGTACCATCGGTTAACGGTACAACCGGTTATCGTCGGTTATCGGTTCGGTAACTGGTTATACTGCTAATCGGCAAATCGAATACCATCGAATACCACCCCTAATTGAAACTCTCCCAACCGCTAAAATTTGGTGACTTTTGACGTCTGGAGATGTAATCATGTTTATAATGAGTTGTAATATTTTTTTAGCTACATAATAGTGTCACGCTTGGCTTCACGTGGATGGCGACCTTACTTAGTGGCCTTTTAAGACTTCCAACTCTTTAAGTACGTAGTAGTGGAGCCGTGATGCATTTTAAGTTTTTAACATTGGCGCATACACGTCACTGTGCTTTCAAATTTTTCAAATTAATAGAAACACTTTTCTTTGTTCAATGGTGACAATGGGTTCGGATATGTCAGTAATTTAGGGTAAGTAACCGTAAATAACATGTTTTTTCTTGTTTAATCTTTGACGAACGATTTTTCTCTCATTTTAAATCGGAATTAAAAAAACCGCACAGATAAATCAGATTAATTGTGTTTTTCAAAATGATATCCACTTTGATATATTTTTAGACAAAAAAATTTGAGGCATTTTTTACGAGTCTATACCATATGGTATTGACTGGTATTAAATAAGAGCATACCATATGGTATGAAAGCGTACTATGGTGGTATGAACATACCAAGACTGTAGGATGGTTGAATATATGATAGTAGGAGTATACTAACTGTCATTTACGACTTTCATCATCGTGTACCACAAGTAACCACCCTCATACCAAGGTGGTATAGTATGGTATTTTTTGGTCTTTTATTTTTTCAACCAGAAGTTTGTAGATCCAATAGATCATGATGAACTCGTTCCTTCTGTGCAAATATTTTCAAAAATAGCTTAAAAACGAAGGAGATACCATATGGTATGGAGTAGGTAACGAGATGTATGAAAAAAAAATCTCAAAAAATATTGAAAACTGATCTCATTTTGTAGAGCACAACAAACTTGGTCTATCTTTGAAAAAAAAAATTAAAATCTAAGTTAAAACGAAGAAGATAAGATTCAATTAAGAAAACTAGATAAAATAAAATATTTTGAATTCACTAACTTTAGATCTGGATTTACTTTACCCACTTAAATCCAAATTTTCAAATTTAGTTACTTGTAGGTGGGTGAGTAACCAATGATTACTGACCCTATCTTAGCTCTCACAATGCCCCATTAGCTGATCATGATTATTAATTATCGCGATTGGTTAACTTATTCAAGCTACACTTTTCAGAGTACAGGATCTAACCATCATCTCTTTCTCATTTGACAGAATGTCAACAAGTACATGACACCTTCTTTTGCTAAGTAAAAATATGTATGTTATCAATTTGGGGAGTGCATTAGTAACTAACTCTATAAGGTGTATATATTAATAACATTCACGTTGGTGCAATTGGCTAACTGTCAAAGTGATGTGACGATTATGGTACAATTAAAATACTACGTTGGAAATACAATATATAGTGTCCACCAAATTTCATTAGTAAGAGGATTTTTGGTAAGGAACCCAAAGTTAAATTCGTGTAGTTTTGGTCAAAAGGGATCAATATAAAACTAATAGACTTGTGGTTTCAACAATTAGCGTCAGAACCTGATTTTGGAGTTTGGATCCTGGACGGTGGACTTTAGTTTGGCAGAACCTCATCCTGTAACCTTAAGATTTGAGATATGTGCATGTTTGGCAGATCTAATGGAGATATGTGCCAGTCTAGGAGATCAACGGAGATATGCATTTGGTAACTCCTTGTGCCAAAAGATTGTCGATACAAGGTGATCTGGCATATCAACATAATCTATGAGGGGAAGACACAAAGTTTGAAATCATTTTCTAAAGAGGATTATTGTTATGGTACAATTCGAATAACACATCGGAATATAAGGCACTGTACAATTGTATATAAGTGTCCACCAAACCTAAAAAAAATCTATCGAGAATTGACTTCCCACTGGAAATTATATTATTATGAGTCCCAGTAAAAATTGTTTAACAACCGTAAATGGTATTAGGAAGAAAACCTAGTTACTCTTTGTTATGTATTCCTTGTATATAGCTAAGTCTGTATCCTCATTGTACTTGTGCTCTACTCATGTGTTCATGTATGTTCCAGGTATAAATATCCCTAACGTCAATAATACAATACACAATTCTCCCAAACCTTACATGGTATCAGAGCAGGTTTACGAACCCTAGCTCGTTTTTTTTCTGTCATGCTCGTCCTACCCTTGTCGTTGTTTCCACCATGGTCGACGTCTCTTCTGTCTCCTCTGGCACGACGACGAACTCTGATTCCTCCCCGAAATCTACCCGTTCATCTCGTCGATGGAAACATCCAAGGCTGCCTGGGATATCCTTCATAGCACCTACGTTGGTACCTCTTACCCCCGAATCATGACTCTCCATGATCGTCTTCATGGCAAAAAGAAGGGAGATCGTGACGTGGCCACCTACATTCAATCCATTCGCGCTCGTGCTGCTGAACTGGCTCTTGCTGGCGATGTCGTTTGCAATGAGGAGCTTGTGACGATCTGTTTACCTGGTCTTGGTGCTGAATACCAAGAATTCTCTGCTGGAATTAGCGCTCGTGATGTCCCGCCCCGTCTTGAAGACCTCATTGATCTCCTTCAAACCCTCGAGACATACCTTCGTGTGCATCGCTCCTCTGTCGACTCCCCTGCCACAGCCTATGCTACTCAGCGAGGACGGGGGCATGTCCGCCGCGGGGGATCTACCGGTCGTGGTGGTGGTCGTGGGTTTGGCCCTGCCCCATACCCAGCTCCGTCACCTACCTCTGGCTCGTCTTCTCATTGGGATGCCTCCTTCCAGCGGAGTGATGATCATTCCACTCGCCGTCCACGAATCTTCTGCCAGTACTGTGAGAAGTCTGGCCACACCGCCAAGATGTGCTTCCAGCTTTTCCCCCAGAAACGTCCCCCAAGCTAATTACACCCAGCATCCTCCGTAAGCTTCCTCTTCTTCTGATGGTTCCTGGCTAATGGGCACCGCTGCTAGCCTGCTACTCATCACGTCACGAACAATCTCGACAATCTATCCCTTTATTCTAACTACAATGGACCTGATGAGATTTACTTGGGGGATGGTTTAGGTTTGCGGATTACCCATATTGGTTCCTCTTCTCTTGTTACTACAGCTCATCCACTTGATCTGCGTTCTGTTTTATGCGTACCTGCCATCAAGCATCGTTTAATCTCTGTAGCCAAGTTATGTCGTGCTAATCCGGTCTCTGTTGAATTCTTTGCTGATTTGTTCATTGTGAAGGACCTAAACACGGGGGCGCCACTGCCGACCGGAAGGAACAAAGGTGACACCTATGAACTCCCAGGAGGTTTGGATGCTGTTCGAGTCGCCCTAGTCACCACCCATCACACATCTGACTCCTGGCATCGTCGTCTCGGTCATCCTTCGTCCAAGTCCCTGTCTCGTCTTCTTCAGGTGTTCTCCCTAATAAATGGATGGACACGGATGTGCCAGTGGATTGGAAACATGAAAGTTTCATTTCTTGCAATGTACTTTGCAATACGACAATATCACATGGAGGAGAGAGAACATGGTATATGTTCATGCTCTATGTTGAATTAGTTTTTTTTTTCTTTCTTTCTTAGCTGTATGAGGATTGAGGATTTGAGGTTAAAAAACTTATTAATCCATATTCAGGTTTCTTAATTTTTATTGGTCACATATTTGATGACTAAGATTAAAAGACTATTTAAACTGTAAATTTTTAATTCATTATTATTTTTTTGTTTTAACTTTTTTCACAGAAATGTCGAGTTCTTTGTAATCTACAAATAATGTTATTTTTATATATTTTGGGGAAAAGTATTCAAACCGCATATACCACCCTTTATCTCCATTGTTTTAACTTGAATTTAAAAAAAATTGCACAGTGGAAGCAGGTTCATTGTGATAAAAAAAAATTATATTCATTTTTATGTTTTTTGGGAAAATTCTCAGACCACCCTGTTAGAATATGATTTGAATTTGATTTCGGTTTGTTTTGTGTTTTGGACTTATTATTATTTGGGTTTGTGTTTGGGCTTTGTTTTGGTCTTTTCCTTGTATGTTTGGAAAATGTGTTTGGTTTTCTGTTTGGGATTATGAGAAGAGTTCTATAAATACTCTTCATCATCCTAGTCCGTAGAAAAGCTAGTCAAGATAGTTTGTTTGGTTTGTCCGTTCGGAATTAGGTTTGTAACATGTACTCTTCTCAAATAAGTGAAATTTGTTCTCCCCTGCCCGTGGATTAAATAGCACACATTGTGTTAGTGAACCACATTAAATTTGTGTTCGTTTGGATTATCGGTTAACACATTTCTGTTCTGACAAGTGGTATCAGGGCCTGGTTCCGTTGGGGGCGGTGGACGTCAGTTTGGTGGGACCCTCGTTCGGTGACCTCGGGATTTGAGATCTGCATTTTTCTGGTGGATCAAAGGCGATCCGTTGCGTCTGGTAAAGTCATTGTACCGAGAAGCCCATCGATACAAGGTGTCTGGCGGGTCAAGATAATCGCTGAGGTGAGGACACGGAGTTCTTGGTCCTTGTCTTGAGGGGAGGATTGTTATGGGACAATCCAAGTACCACATCGGTAATACAAGGGAAGGGACCCTTCTATATTAGTGTCCACCTAGCCCAATTAGTACGAGGCCTTTTGGGGAGGACACCCAAGAGTAAAATCGGTGCGGGCTTGGCCCAAAGCGGACAATATCGTACTAATTGAGCTGTCCATTTATGACAAATGGTTTGGTTTGTTGACCGCCCTTACCACTTGTCAGAACATAAACGTGGCAATCGATAATCCAAACCAACACAAACGAACACAAATTTAACGTGGTTCACTAACACAATGTGTGCTAGTTAATCAACGGGCAGGGAAGAACAAATTTCACTGATTTGAGAAGAGTACAGGTTACAAACCAAATTTTGACGAACAAACCAAACAAACTAACCTGACTAACTTTTCTACAAGCTAGGGTGATGAAGAGTATTTATAGAACTCTTCTCCTAATCCCAAACAGAAAACCAAACACATTTCCCAAACATACAAGAAAAGGACAAAACAAATCCTAAACACAAACCCAAACAAAAATAGGCTCAAAACACAAAACAAACCCAAATCAAATTCAAGTCATATTCTAACAATGTCCACCTTGACTTGAATTCTCTCTCAAATACCAGATGTACCAGATGCAACCAAAGTTGCCAAATGTACCCAGACGCAATACATATCGCCAGACATATCCAGATGCGATAGAAACCGCCAAACTCAAACGCGATGCAAATCGCCAAACTCAGACGCAATATGAATGCCAGATGTAGCCAA